GGGGTGAAGGGGGGGGCCGACGGTGTCTCTGGCTGCGTTTGCCCCTGCCCCGGTGTGGGGTGGGTTTAATGCTGCCGTTTATCCCAGGGCTCAGCATGCGCCTTCACCGAGTGCATCCTCCGCAGCTACGGGCTGAAGACGGGCTTTTACAGGTGGGCAGGGGGGATCGGGAGGGTTTGGGAGGGGGTGGTGGTGCTGTGCCTGACCGTTCCCCCCCTGTTCTGCCCCCCCCCCTCCCCCAGCTCCCCTCACCTGGTGCAGGTGCGTGAGCGGATCCGCATCAACGGTCAACCCATCAGCAAGGAGCTCTTCAGCAAGTACTTCTGGCTCGTCTACAACCGCCTAGAGGAGACCAAGGTGGGGGTGGTGGGGCTTGGGGGGTGTGCTCCTTCCCTCGGGGACGCCCCAGCGCCGGTTGGGGATGCCCCGTGCTGTGCCCTTACGCTCGCTCTGCCTGGCAGGACCCGGCACACGCCAGCATGCCGGCATACTTCCGCTTCCTCACCATCATGGCCTTCCACGTCTTCCTGCAGGAGAAGGTAGGTGGTGGCAGCCTCCAGCTTGTGATGGGGACGTCAGGTTGGTGGGGTCCTCAGGGAGGGGGGAACATGGTGTCCGGTGTCCAGCCCCAACTTGGGGTAGAACTTGCATCAGTCCAGCTGTGATGGCTGTACCCAGGGGATGCTGTGCCAGTTGGATTGTCCCCCCACGAGTGGGGCATGTGTTCAGGCATGGGTTTGGAGGGGCGGTGGCAGGGACCCGGCCCCACCTGCGTCCCTGAATCCATGGGGACACATGCTGCTGGTGGCCCTGTGATGGCTCCAGTGTCCCTGTGTCCCCAGGTGGACCTGGCGGTGGTGGAGGTTGGCATTGGCGGTGCCTACGACTGCACAAACATCATCAGGTAGGAGCCGGCAGGGCCGAACCTGTCCCCTGGGGGTGCCAGGGCCTGATGTCCCCACGGCAGGGGGACATCAGGGACATTGCCACGCTGTGTCCCCAGGGCGCCGGTGGTGTGTGGGGTCTCCTCCCTCGGCATTGACCACACCAGCATCCTGGGGGACACCATGGAGAAGATCGCCTGGCAGAAGGGGGGCATTTTTAAGGTAGGGAGACCTGGTCCTTGACCTCTCACAATTTTGGGGTGTGCTCCCCCATGGCCCTGAGCACCCCCACCCTTCGCAGCCTGGCGTGCCGGCGTTCACTGTGGCGCAACCGGAACGGCCGCTGGAGGTGCTGAGGGACCGAGCCCGGGAGCGGGAGGTGAGTTGGGTGGCAGGGGGGTGGATACAGGGTACCCCATGGCGGGGGACTCAGCCTCCTCTCCCCACAGTGTCCCCTGTACCTCTGCCCGGAGCTGGACGCCTCCGAGGGGGACCACCGGGCGCTGGAACTGGGGCTGGC